AAAACGATAGTTGCCTTAGCGTCTTCTTCTTTTTCTCCCTCAACTTTTCCCTTTTCAGGGATCGCTGTTCTCTACTATTTTTTGCCACTTATTTCTGTCTATCGTGTTTCCTTAATTTAAACCTTTCTTTCTTAAGTCCACTGCCGCACAGTCCTATCTTCCCCTCGGTATTGCTCTACCTCTCTTTCCCATAACTTCTAACTTCTACTTCCTTCTTTCCATGGTTTTAAAGATGTTTTTGCAAGGACGCAAACCGATCTCCTATATCCGAGTTTCGGATCGGTACTGGTAGTTACTGAGCTACTCAATCCACCTAGTCACTACCAGAGTCGGAGTTAGTAGTTGACTTATTGTATTTACTGATAATGTAGGAGAACATCAAAAACTCAAAGAAATAACGAGAATCTTCTAATAAACGGAACCAACGTCGAGCAAGTGGACAAATATGCATATCTGGGAACAATGATGAACTCCTCAAATTATTACATTCACGAGATCAAATTCAGAATAAAAAATGCTAAAGCAAATTTCAACAAAATGAGGAGAGTGCTATGTACAAGGGATTTTAAAATATTTAAAATTGGAACTAAGAGTTTGGTTGGCCATGTTTTTTTCAACTTTTTTTATGAAATGGAATCTTGGACTTTGAATGGGACATGAATGGAAAAACTGGAATCTTTCGAGCTGGGGATTTATAGAAGAATTCTGAAAATATCGTGGACAGAACACGTCTAAAACAAAGAATGAATAAAGAAATAGAAATTTTAAATACAATTAAAACAAGAAAATTGGAATATCTCGGACACACTGCACGTGGAGAGCATAGGGAAGCATAGGGAGGCGTAGAATGTCATGGCTGCGCAACCTGAGAGAGTGGTACGGATGTATCAAATGAACTTTTCAGAGCAGTCGCCTCAAAAGTCCGAATAGCTATGACGATTGCCGACCTCCGCCGCATAGATGGCACTTGAAGAAGAAGATTTACTGACAATTATAGTCAGCTGACAGTATTGTGATATACACTTTTTCAGCTCATAACATCAAGTACCCATACAGCCTTTTGATATGTCGTTGGACTATTATACAGGTCCTCGGGACTTTGACATGTCGACTAAATGAAACGAAGGTTTCCTTTGAGGACTGCGATTGGAGTGATCTAGGCCTCTGATGGTTTTGAAGGATACCTTTCTAGTCTTGTTTAAGTCTATAATACGCCTTGAAATGAGCAGCTCCCAAGTCTTTGAAGGAGACCTCGTCGAACGTGTAGCGTTCAATTTTTTTGGCCTCTCCGATCTTCAGATTTTTCAATAACTAGTCTTCCGCCTTAAGGTCTTGATTTTATTTCCTTAGACGGGTCCTGATAATTGTTTCATCAGCCTCTTTCTCCGGAACGCGAGGGAGGATCATGGGGCATATTATTTAGAAGTATGTTCCCTACCACATGTCCTAAATAGTCCTCAATATCTCAGTAGTCAATTTTTTAAACGATGTTCACTTTATCCTCATTTGTTAAGCTCCATAGTGGTGTTTGTGACCTGATTCGAATCTCGTCGTAAAAGGTGAATTTTAAAAACCTGTTAAAGTATATTGTAGTATCAGACAAGGTGTTTTAGTAAGCCTATTACTATTGTAGTATCAGACAAGGTGTTTTACTAAGCCTATTACTATTTAATATAATTATTGATAAAGTAATAATGAGAAGGATATAAATTCCAAAGGTAAAAGATATACAAGTGAAAATGAGCGTAAAAATACTATGTTATGCAGTCCATGCTGTTCTAATAGAAAAAAAGTTTTAATACAGTAATAGCAATTGAAAAAACAAAATGGGTGATTACTACTAAATAACCGATATGGGGTAAATTTGGAAGTTGATGGTAAACTAGTAGAGCAAACAATGAATTTTCTATGTGCCTATTTTCTAGAGATGTTGGCGACCACATTGACCCATCTAATTCTATTAACAGCAGCTCGAAATAGATCAGTTGAGGTTAGACAATTCCATTTCCTAAGATTGACCAGCCAGGATATACGTCTACGTTCAGGGCCCCTGTTTCCCTCAATCTTGCCCTGTAGAAGTCGGTATTTATCATTACGCATGATGTGTTCGAAGTAAGCCAATTCTGTTTTTTATGGTGTTAATAATTTCTTTGTCTTTTCTTAGCCTCTGGACAATAGTTATGTTACTTGTGTGGTGTATATGTGAGACCCTCAACATACGTCGGCAGCACCACATTTCAAATGCCTCCAATCGTTTTATGGCATGTTCTTATGTCTCCAGCTTTCTACTCCATAGAGGAGGACACTAAAGACGTAACATCTAAGAATTCATATTCGTATATTGATACTTATAGATAAGTAGCAGATAATCTTCCTAAGTATTATTGCAGTCCAAATAGCATATTTTTTCACTCTTTCTAACGGTATATCGTGAATTGTAATTTGAGCGTTTATGCCGATGTTCTTACTAATGATCATTATTTTTGTATTCTTGCAATTTAATTTTAGGCCGTATTTGCTACATGCTTCTACAACGTTATCCATCAACCTTTGGAGCCCTTGCGCACTATCTGCCAGCAACACTGTAACGTCTGCATATCTAATGTTGTTTATAAGTTGGCCATTTACAGCAATCCCATCTTCTGATTCGTCCAAGGCCTCTCTAAAGATGTTTTCAGAGTATATGTTAAATAATGCCGGTGACAACATGCAACCCTGTCTAACTCCTTTTCCGACTGTGATTATCTCGGACAGTTCATTTTATAATTGTACTGTTGCTTTTTGTTGGAGATATAAGTTTGAGATCAGTCTTATATCCTTACCATCAAGTCCTGATGTGTTTAGGATATCGATTAGTTTCCCATGTGGGACTTTATCAAATGCCTTCTCGAAATCAATGAAACATGCATACAAATCGCAGTTGACATCCCTGGGTCTCTGTATTAGAACTTGTAAATTAAAAAGTGCTTCACTCGTTTTGAATCCTGCTCTGAATCCAAATTGAACTTCACTAAAGTGTTCTAATTTGGTGTCATCAAACTAATTAATCCATGTTCTTCACATTTTCTATCGTTGGTTCTTTTAGGAAGTGGAATGAATATTGATAGTAGCCAGTCTTTTGGTAAGTAACCAGTCTCGTAGATGCTGTTGAATAGCTTCGTAAGAGCTGTGATTTGGTGTGCCTCTAATAGCTTTGAAATTTCACCATGCATCTAATCAGGTCCTGGTGATTTCCCATCTTTAATCCGCCTAATGGCCATAGTTACTTCTTCGTTTGTTATTTCTGGGCCGTAGGGATTGTTTATTTTAGTCGGACTTCGTGCTGCATCTTCGAATAATTCTTGCATATATTATATTCTTTCCATCTTCGGAATTTATCTTCAATGGTAGTCAAAATTTGGCCTTCAGTGTCTACAACTATGCCTGTATTGCATTGTTTTCTGGTATTCTTAACCTCTTTAATTTTTTTGTGCATATGGAAATCGTCATGTTTGCGTTGTAGTGTTTCCGTACATTTCTCCTTCAGTCATGCCTTTTTGCTTCTTTTATCTCCTTTAGTCTTATGCAACTTTTTGTATTCGTTTCTACCTTTTAATTTTCTTCGCTCTTCCATCATCTGCAATATTTTATCTGTCATCTATTCTTGCTTCTTTTTGATTTTAGATATTCATGCGAAATTGTGGTAATAGATGTCTTCATTTCGTTCCACTGTTTTTCCATGCCTCTAATAGTGCGAACTATTTTCGCAAAATTCTCATTAATTTCTGTTCTTACTTTTTTCTAGGTGTCATTTTGTTTTAGTAGTCTTATATCTACCTTGGGCTTCATCACTATGATATGAGAAGACATAAACCTTTTGTTTATGTCGATAAAATCAATTTGGTTTCTTATGATTTTCCCTGGAGTATCACCGGGTGCTTTCCATGTATAAAGTCTTCTTAGATGTAATTTAACAAGTGTATTCGTTACAACCATATCCGTCTCTTGGCAGAATTGGATTAGTCTATCTTCTCTTTCGTTTCTTATGCCAAGACCATATGAAATATCCAGCTATCCAGTAAGATATCCAGCTCAACTAATACGGAAAATGAAGTAAGACGCCATGCTATACAAACTAATAAGCAGCAGGTTGGAAAATAATAAAAATCAATATTAGCTAATGGAAAAAAACTAGAATTGTAAGTTAAAATAATATTCAGGATGTTCTGTTTCTGGTTTTATGGAGTACTCTATATATTTGAACATAATTTTAAAATATTTATTTATACTCTTTCTATAATTTTCCTATAAAGCTTTTTCTGTGTCTCCTCTTAAACAGATATATTGAACTCTAGTGTGCATATTGATCTGTCTGTATTTGTTGTTTGTTGCATATAACTAACTCCGTTAAAATGAAGAAGTTGATGTTACATCGTTGAACCAGATATTCGAGATAAATAATTATTATTATCAATACTAATGAAGTAGTATAAAATAACATTGAAATTTTAAAAGCTACCTCCCGGATTAAAATTATTATTACACTTTGCGTCTGATTTACGTTGAAAGGTCAAGTTCGTATCCTTGTTATCCTGGTACCGCTACCAAATCGCGTGTGTCCTTGTTATGAAATTACGTCTGCAGATATGTTCCAAGTATCATCCCTTCTAACATATCGAGCCCAGAAAATCCATTATACACATTCGTCTGCTGACGTTAGAAAACAAACAAAAGCATTAAATCTCGGACCTCCTCCTGAGGTCTAAATTACACAATTAAATCAAGTGTGCGTGTGTTATCACTGATTAATGTTGAAGAAAATTGCATTGAAATCGTTTAAGTAATTGGTTTGGTAATAGTTCCATGTTTGATTAGAAATCATAATTACTACCCCTTTGAGTATACAACTCAAAATACATTTAAACTATTGCAGCTGCCGCATTAGTGAGCGGAAGTTTGTATCGAGTAGTAGCTGACAAAACAGATCAAATATTTTTTTAAATAATTATTGTCAAGTCAAAATGGATTTTTCTGTAAATGCTAGAATGGCTGAATATTATGAGAAATTTATTGAATTACAAGAAAAATTAAGGAAAAGGTAAGGTTTTTAATACTTATATCAAAATTCAACCAGTGAAATTCCAATGTTTGTATTGTACTAATATATTGAATAATTCGTTCATATGTGTATAAATTTTACATGTTGGTGTTCTAAAAAAAGCATTTTCGATTTTTTTACTAATGCATTTATATTTTTAAGTCATTCTTTTTATCTATCTGAATAATATAAATTTCATTACCTTTTATTCGATTAATTTGAAATTGTTTTGAATAGTGGATAATGTTTTGTTTTCAAACAAAGAATTTCTAATTGTGGCAACTTAACAACAAAAAAAATGTGTGACAATTTCAAAGTTAATTTTAGCGGAATTTAAAAGTACAACAATATACATAAAACTATTAAATTCATCTGACTCTGAGTAGTACAAAGAAAAAAATACAAAAATAGGGCATAAAATATAGGGCTCTCGAAGTTAAAAGTTATACTCGGTTCACTGATACCAGTCCCAACTGTAGTAAATGTAGTAAACTCAATTCGCTATTTTTTGCTACGTTAGTTAAACTTTGGCAGACTGGCAGTGGCTAGAAATTACTATACAAATAAGTATACAGTCTGTCCCAAACAATCCCAAACCCTTCTTTCAGTGCCTCGGATTTTAAGAATGTCGAGAATTATTGCATATTTTAGTTAAATCTGACAGTTCCAGGAGCGTAATTAGCTAAATGTGAAAAGGTTATTTTTTTTTTAATGTGGAGTAAAAACTTTCACAATTCAAATTTTTATTTAATTTACATATTAGAGGTCCCGTCCTGTATAAAAATTTTTATTGCGCATTATATTGGAAAGGCAGTTTGTCATAATTTCTATTCTATACATTCCAAGAAAAGTGCTTAATTAGCTAAGATTTGTTTATGGATTTATTATTATTTATTACAAACACTATGGAATTGGAATATTTGTTTATTAAAAATTACGCTTCCTCCTAGAATCTTTTAAGAGTTGACTGCGAGATAAAAAAATTTACTGGCAATTGCAAGACATCAAAGTAAACATTTCTGTGATAAAATAACATCGATTGAAATCAGTCATATTTGGATAAGTAATTTTCCGATAAGTTTCTGTGGCAGCCAATAGTTTAATTTTGTGAAGGTTTATCATTAAATAGTGAAAATAGTTTAAATAGTGAAGCAGTTGATTTTTGAGTTAATCTACCAGTTCCGGTATCCAGATGAAAGTTACATTTATCTAGAGGTAATGATAAATCACAAAGTGGACAAATATTAAGGCTCTTTAAATAATATTTTAGTTAAGATCTAAATCTGGAAGGGCTAAGGAAATAATGTGCAAAGCAGTGTTAAGGCGAAGTGACTCTATACTGCTAAAACATGGATGACGAGCAAGGCAGCAGAATCATGGAAGGGTAGAATAACTAACGTACTGTACGATCACTTTAAAGAAGCTGAAATATATATCACCTGTTATGGAACAGGAAATATTCTTCGGTATACATGTATACTATAATTCTTCTTTAAATAATTCTTTAATACATGGTATGACATATTATTTCTTTTCTTTTTAGACTAAGATTGCTATTACTTCATCTTTAGTTGAAATTAATATTTCCTGACAATTTTTTACCTATTTAAAAAAAAGTGTGTTTTTAGGGCCATTTTTGCAGAGATAACTTTTCCAACTATAAAAATTCATAATTTATTCATTTATCAATATTAACATTTGAAATTGCGTGAGCACATCGAACCCTATTACTTAACAATGCCATTTATACATATAGTAAAAATTGTAGAATATTTTGAAAAATAATGATTTTTGTAGCGACCTTAAATATAAACTTTGCCTGAAAAGTAGTGAGGGAAATAGATCCAATATTCAAAAGTTGAACGCAAAACTTCAAATCTGCAACACCAGAAAAATTTGCAATATCTCTGTTAATAATGAACTAATTTTAATGTTTTTTTAATTTGGGGTAGCATATAAATATAATAACTGCATGTTAATTGGAAGTCCTTATCCCAATGGCTAATAGGCAACGCTGAGAACATGACAGCTGCAGCTATATCATTAATTATAGCAAAGTCGATTGAACGTGACACATATGCTACATCTTTATTTCATAAATCCCTAGACACACCGTACCACAACTGGCTCATCATACGGTGAGATTTGTGCTGTGACTACAGCGTTCCTCATTCATCGTGTATAGGGTATGTGTGATACAGGGGCAAAAGTGTTACCTAATTGGAGACACAGTTACAAACACACACGGAGACAAAAGGAAAAAGATATGGCCCAAAAGATGACTCAAGAATAAGTAGCTCTTTTGAATCTATAAATAACAATCTAAAAAGAACGAACAGAGACGCGACCGCGGCCGCGACTCAGTACTTCATGAGTTCATTTAGTTCTACTGAGCAACATTCAGCACAGTAAGGCATCTTCGGTAGAACTTACTGTTGTTATGAGAAGTTTCGATGTTGCCTTGATACAAGAGCTCCTGGTATACCAGCGCCAAATAAAAGGTCTATCTAAAGGTCAAATAAAAGGTAATCGACTTATATATAGAGGATCTCTATCTGCCGAAGTCCCAAAGATTTGTTTAATAAATAATCGAATCTGTAAGATAAGTCAATTTATTACACGGTCGGTGTAGAACAGGTGGCTTCCAGAGAAAAAAAGGATCTACATCATCCCCAACTTTTTCAATGAAGTCACATAAATATAGTTTTAGGCCTTTATTGCGCCTTCTGTATCCAATTTCCGACTGTTAGAAGGCGCAAGATAGAGAACAGTGGAAGAACATGGAGGAGACCTATATCCAGCAGTGGATGCAAGAGGTTGAGGAATGATGATGATGAGGCCTTTATTTATATATTACTGTTTCTTTCTATGACTGAAATGTCTTCATACCATTTTTCGCATTCTTCGTCTTTATATTAAGATGTTGAGGCTTAGGCTTTTATTATTTTGAACTTATATATTTCTGCACCTGCACGTGATTTTGCGGTTTTGCTAGAGTCACCTGTACCTCTCTCTCTCTCTCTCTCTCTCTCTCTCTCTCTCTATATATATATATATATATATATATATATATATATATATATATATATAATATATATATATATATATATATAAGTATGTTGGAAATATCGGGTATGTGGTCTATATTAAATAAAAATCTTTGTTTTTTCGCCCAATATTTAAAGCTCAATATTTCGCCATTTATTTAATAGCTTCATTGGGAGTGAAGAAATTAAAAGATTTCACACATAAATAAAATTGACATTAAAATATCATTTTTGTTGATGTATATGTATATCCAATAAAATGCATGTTAAAATATAAATATATTAGAGCACGTTCGTTAACAATAAATAAGATAGAAACAACTCAAGAGTTGTTTCCATCTTATTTAAGCTGTTAGGCCGTTTTTCGATTTCGATAGCTTCACGAATGATTCTTGATTTTAAGGAGCGGATGGGGGTGATGGTTTTTGCTTTTTCGAAATCTATATTGTGGCCTGTTTGAATATGATGTGGCCCGAAGTAGTAATGGAATGTTTGACTGATATAGAATGTTTGTAAATACAGTTATGGATTCGTCGGTTTGTCTGTCCGATGTATGTGCGTGGGCAACTGGAACAAGGTATCTCGTAGACACCATGGTCTTCATTAGGGACTTGGTCTTTTACGGATCTGACGAAATTTCACAACTTGGAGTGAGTAGTGAAGATGGTTTTGATGTTTAGAGGAAGAAGAGTTCTACTGATATTGTTAGTGACACCTTTAATAAAAGGTAGAAAGATTTAGGCTTGATCCGGCGGCAAGGATTCTTTTTTGGATGGAATGGTGTTTAGATGTTTTTGAATGCTCTTATTGATTTGGGTTTTGTGGTAGCCGTTATGTAAGAGTGTTTGCCTTATTGAATTGATTTCGGATGACCTATGATTGTTGTCGCTAAGTCTTATGGAACGAGAAATGAGAGTGTGTGAGTGACAACTGAATTGAGTTAGGCGGAGTGATGGTGTGACTGGGCATTAAGATATCGGTTTGTATGAGTGGGTTTCCGGTACACGGAATGGGAAAAACTGTGAGGTAAGTTTTTCTGAATAAGAACATCAAGGAATGGCAAAGACGCTTCAGACTCAACTTTCATCGTGAATTGAGTACTACGATGTATTCCATTCAGGTGAGAGAGCAAGAGATCTAACGTGTCTTTACCATGAGGCCAACTGACAAAAGTGTCATCAACATACCGTAACCAGCAGGTGGGTTTGAGATTTGATGAGGACAATGCTGCTGTTTCGAAATGTTCCATGAAAATATCAGGTATTATGGGAGAGAGGGGAGATCCCATTTGGGCACCTTTGATTTGACGATAGAAATGATTTTGGAATGAAAAGTATGTATTAAACATGTAGTGTTTTATAAGAGATAATGTGTCTTGGGGTATTTGATGTTTAGAGTCCAAGATGGAAATGGTTTCATCGATGGGCATGATGTGATACAGATTTCACCCTCAGATACACTGAGTGTATCTGAGGGTGAAATAGAAATATTTTTCAGAAGATTAATAAGTTTTTGACAAAAGACGAAGCTTTTTCGGCTAATGGTTGTAAGGATAAAGCGAGATGTTTTGCCAATTTCTGAGTGGGGCAGTTGTATGCATTGACGATGGGTCTATGGGGAAAATTTGGCTTATGGATTTTTGAAAGGCAGTATATCTTTGGAATTTGGGATGATTTTTCTCTGTGTATACGAGATTTTTTGATGTCAGAAGGTAGAGTAGACTTATTTATGATGGATTTGATTGTTTTTTCTAGATAGGTGGTGGGTTCGTTTGGGACGCGTTTGTATTCTGTGGAATTGAGAAGCTCGAACATTTTGTCAAAATAATTAGAAGTTAAGAATGACAGTGGCATTACCTTTGTCGGCCGGAAGGATGACAATGTCTGGGTTGTTATAAAGTTCTTTGAGAGCGCGTCTTTCTGAAAGACTGATATTTGTCGGTGGGAGTTTTGAAGTACGGAGAATTCTGGCGACATCTTGTCTGACAACTTCGGCTTGGTCGGAAGGAAGATAAGAAATAGTTTCTTCAGTTTAACAAATAATTTTGTCAGTTGATATTGAAAGAGGTGTGACAGAAAAATTCAAGCCTTTTGATAGAGATTTGGTATAAAATATATATACAGGGTATAAAATAAATAAATTAAATAAGTTTGTACTGAAACATTTCTTATAAATTAAAGAATTACATTAAGACTCAAACAAAAAATTAAAAAAAAAGCAAGAAAATAATAAAAAGGTCTTCTGCTCTTTTTCTGGTGATCTCATTTTCTGTCCATGGTAGCTGGTTTAAAACGTCCCATAACTTGTCGTATGTCTCGCCTTGTATATCTGCATATTTTACAGTGTAAATAAAAATAGCTTTTATTTTTAGCGAAGAGGAAAGACTGAAATTGGAAATGAAGTTCAATGAGATGGTACAAAAGTCTCGAGAAGAGTAAGTATATCTTAAAATATTAAATTGTTGATGCATATATTTTATTATCAAGATAAGTTACACGAATTTATTGTGAATTCGCTTAATCCGTGCAATGTGTACATATTTCGTGTACAACCAGAATTAGTTTCGTTAAACTTGCGGCAGGTAACTGTGCGGATAGTATCTCCATACAACGTAATATACAGTTTGATTCGAAAAAGCTATTATTGGTAATATAGTTAACAAGCAAAAATGGAAAGAAAAACACCCAATGTATTTGTTAACAAAACAAAAAATTAGAAACATTAATGATGTTGCACATAAATCAAACACAACTAAATTTTTGGCAATCTTTCATATACGATTTGAAACTTTAATCAAGGCTTCGATAAGATCTGTCACTGTTTTTATTGTACAGTGACTAATGACAGCGGTCACTTACGAAAACCCGGTTCCGCTTGAGCTGGTATCTTTGTATTGTCGTTGAGATGTAAGTAATTTAATATCCAAAGGAATCTGTGGAAATTTTTTCAGTAGCAGACCAATATAATAGTTATGTTGGTAACTGGTGGAACCCCAGTATGATGAGTATGTCCAAGAAAGCTTTGAATTTCGTACTTTTTTTATTATTTCATCAATAATCAGGTTGAACAATAGAGGACTTGGGAAATCTTCCTGTCTTATCCCATTGCCAAGTTCAATAGGGTCAGTTAGTTCTTATTTTACTTTTACTTTTATTGCGTTGTTTTGGTATCAAACAACAGCATCGGTCAAATGCCGTCTTAAAGTCCACCAAACATAGATATGCCGGTTTGTTGTTTTGATGTATTCTAATGATTTCTCCTGCACTTGCCTCATTATAAATATAGTATCGGTACATGATTTTCCCTTCTGCTAGTGTTATAATTTCATTAAGTTTATTTGTTCTCACTTTGGTTGTTAATTTTAGTGTTGTGTTTACAGTCCTACTCTCACAAATGCCATTTGATTCATATAAAGGTTCTTTATGAGTTTAAGGTCATTCTCATCTATCGAACGTTCCTGGAGCAATCTTACCAATTCTTAATGATTAACACAATTGAACGCTTTCTGGTAATCTATAAAGCATAGGAAAACATCTTTTTGCTGACCTCTGCATTTCTGAAGTAGGACAGTTACGTTATAAAGTGCTTCTCTTGTGCCAAATCCTTGTCTGAAACCAAACTGTATGAGGCTAATTTCCCTGGTCGCAACTAGTAGCGTTTGGCTTTTTTGGGATTGGTATAAAGGTTGATTGAAGCTAATCCTGTGGTATTTGACCGGACCCATAAATGTCATAAGATCTACCAATTTTACGCGTATATTGTCTTCACTCAACATTGTTAGAACCTCTCCGTATATGTCGTCTGGGCCTGGTGTTTTTCCCCATTTGCTCTGTTTGATTGCCCTTACAACTTCTGACTTGAATATTTTGGGGGAGGGTTCACTTTTACATTCACTTTCAGAGTTTCTTCTAGTGTTATCTGAGTATAGTTGCTGTGTGTAGTTTCTATAAATGTTGAATTAGATCCTTGGGATCAGTAATTAATTTATTGTCCTTCACAATACTGTAAAACTGCAAGGTTTTGTATGACCTGTCACTTCTTTAACGAGTTTATGTATGTTAAAGCGGTCATGCTTTTTCCAATTCCTCCATTTCTGCACACCTGTCTAGTAGCCACTGTGCTTTAGCTTTGCGACACTCTTTTCGTATTTGTTAAGATCTTGCCGTGCTATCCGCTATTGCCTCATTTAAATTTTCTGTGACTTTTAGTTTAACGTTAGGTTGTTTCAAGCTGTTTATATCAATTTTCTATATGAATTTTCTTTTAATTTTCTTAAGCTAAATTTTCAATTTTCCTACTACGCGATTGTGATCAGATTCGATATCTGTTCCAGGGTACGTTTTTACCCCTTGTAATCCATTTCTGTATCTCTGATTAATCAATAAAAAATCAATTTGATTTATTACGATGTTCTCATGCGTATGTTGTGGAGACTGTCAGGTGTAGAGTCTCCGAGGTCTCCCAAACCAAAGTCACCCACGACATCTTCAACACGTCCTCGCCCTACCTTCGCATTGAAATCTCCCATGATTATAAGATTCTAGTTCTTCTTGATCAGTTTCATTAACTCCGTAATCTCTCTGTACAATTGTTTTACTTCATTTTCAAGCTTGTCCAAGGTTGGTGCATAGATTTGTATAATGTTAAGGTCAACAGGATCGGCTTGGACTTGTAGCGCTGCCCTATGCCATGAGTTCCTTACTGATTTGTTTGAGGCTGCGTTAACTAGAAATCCAACTCCGTTATAATGATGGGGTAGGCTATTTCCCGAGTAATATAGTGTCGCTTTTTCTTTAGTACATTTAGCACTGTTAAGCCATTTGATTTCGCTAAGTCCTATGATGTCTAGGTCGCATCGTTCCATTTCTTGTATTATATTGTCTAGTTTACCGGCAGTGTAAAGACTTTTAACGTTCCAAGTTTTAGCTTTGGGGTTTTTCCAATTTTCGGGTGGTTCCTAGCATTGTTTTTCTTCGCGGAGATTCTTAGCAGCCCTTGGCCACTTAAACCTTGTCTTTCTTGGGATATCATTGGGAACCTTTAATACGGTGGTTTCCCATTGCCTTCCGTATTCTTATGCCGTTGACATCCTTTGTTCATCGGCCTTTTAGAGACAGTTTTTTCACCCTAAGGACAAAAGGGTGCCCTATCCCATGTGAGATATTGAGCAAGTGGACAAAATGAAATACTTAGGAGTCTGGATTACGGAAGATCTGAATTCGAAATCAGAAATTCGGTCAAGGATAGAGCAATCAAGAGCAGCCTTTTTGAAGATGAGTAAATTTCTGAGTAACCAAAGACTCAATCTGCAAATCCGACATTGGATGGTAAAATGTTATATCCACTATATTCTTCTTTATGGTGTCGAAGCCTGGACTGTTAATGTTGACCTAATGAGAAAACTGGAAGCTTTTGAGATGTGGCTTTTTAGGAGAATTTTGAAGATACCATGGACTGATCATATTACGAACGAAATGGTGCTGTACAGAATGGGAAGAGACAGAACTTTTGACCACCATTAAAAGGCAAAAGATAGCATATATAGCATATTTGGGGCATATACTTCGAAACGATAAGTAAGAGTTGTTGCAGCAGATTATAAAGGGTAAAATCGAAGAAAAAGCCGTCTTGATAGATGACAAATATTCCGGCTGAAAAACATTCGCGTCTGGACCGGGTTAAACACACAGACGCTCTTAAGAAAAGCAGAAGATGGAGACCAATTTGCAATGGTTATAGCTAACCTTCATTAGTGGAGGCGGCACTAGAAGATCGAAAAAAGAGTTCATCATCAATAAATTTTCCTAGTGTAAGAAGTTCATTAGTCTTTGCCCTTGCACATTACTTTCGCCATAGCCATACTTACCCATTGCTACTTCTGCATCATCTTGTTTAAACCCCATATTCGCATTTAAGTCGCCCATAGTGTAATATGCTGGTGTGGTATGTAATGCTATTTCTAGGTCCTCATAAAATTTTTCAATTTTTTCATCTTAAGTGGGTAGTCGTTGGGGCATATGTCTGAATTACCTTAAGGTTATATCTTGCATTTAATTTGAAGATGAGATATACAATCCTGGGGCTTATGCTGATAATTTTAACTATATTTTGTGTGTGCTTTTTATGTATAATAAATCCTACTCCACCATTTGAAGTGACTTCTTCACCTCTAAAATGAAATACGTGACCTGATTTAAGAGTAATTTGTGCTTCCGATCATCTTCTGGTCTGATATAAGAGTTCTAACATTGTATGAAGTAATATGCATTTGTCGCTCTGCTCCAAACCTGTTCCAACCGCTATCTTGGTTGGGATATTGGAACCGCTGGACACTGAGGCCGTTCAGTAGTTTCGTCTTTCATGGAAAATAACTTTTGGGGTTTTAAGTCATTAAAACTTCACGCTTGGCTAGTGTGTGTTGGCGAGTTGGTTTGAAAGTGGGGGGTAAAAAGAGTAGAGATAGGAAGGCTGTGGGTTTGGACATCGTTTCCCCGGAAATGGAAGACTGGGAAAATCCATGAGCTCGCGTGGGCAGGTGTGCTATTCCTGAAGTAGATCTATCCCCTGCCGGGATCGCAGAAAAGTATGCACCCTCTACACTTTTTATAATATATAGGTCTTATTTAATCTCATATCCTTATTCTTACAGATAACATCCCTTAGAGATCTTCATATATTAGCTTTATTTGCTCTCTTTAAGGTTTTCGTAGCTGGGTAATTCTACTGCCAGAAACTCGAATATCGAGACTTGTTAGATTATTTCCTCTTTATTTTCATGTTGTATGTCTCACCTCTGTTCTGAATATTCGTACCATTGGTTGTAGGTCATTTACGATATCTAAGATTGCGTCGTCTGTGTAGCAAAGGATTATTTTAAAAAATACTGCTTTCAATTATGTATAGTCAGTGTAGGTTGTGCTTTATATAATTCGTTCATCGCCAAAAAACTGTTACAGGACGTTATTGAATGTCAGATTATGCTTAGTAATAAATTTGAAAACTCATTTCTTCTTGGCGCACGATGAGCACGTCCTAGAATATTATATAGATATATAAGCTTTGCCAATTGCGATAATGTTCTATGTTCTAGTTCTAGTGGACTAATAATAAATAATAATAAGTCTGAATATTAATTATTTTTAATACAAAAATTAACAAATATTTTAAAAATGATAATTGTTTTAGGGAACAAGTGTACTACAGAAGACTACGATCACAGTACAAGAAATTTTTAGAAGAAGACCGTAAGCGACAAGAACGCAATGAAAAAATAGTAAGAACATTGGAACGGATAGAAACTCGCATCGATATGCTTACATCGAAAACGGAACGCATTAAACATCTGAGAAAGCATTACCACAACTATTTGCAAAGGGTTTCCGGTCCACAAGTTCCAAAAGTTGTTATAAATACTCCACAATATAGTACAATGCCAAAAGACACAACTACATATAATGAAGATGTTTTTCCTACTAATAATAATTGCGAAGATGAGCAGAAACTGAATGACGAAAAAATGGAAATTCTTGATAGATATTTACAAAGTATTTCATCACAAAAATGTAAGGATCTTCTCGAAAAACGAAAAATGGAAAATGCCGAACTTGATAAATTGGAAGTATTAAAACACAAATTAGAATACGGTTTTGATTCCAATAAAGCTCAATCCATAGCAGAGGATATTATGAATTCAATATATAGTAGACATTATAACAAAGAACCGAACCAAGACGACCGGCTAACTAGTAGAAAAGCAAATGTGAAATTTTCTTGTGATGTAGATGATGATAATAAATCAGATTTTAGTGACCTAACTCAGAGTAAAGATGGTACCGAATGTATAACACAGCATACTAAATCCGATACAGTACAGAACAATATAGATAAGGACTCCAACAAACAAGAAAAGCGTGTATTTGTGGAGAATGAGCAGGAAATACAGCTTAAACCAATATCTAAAGAAAATAAAGTTTTTCAAAATGACACACAACAGGAAAATAATCTACAGGAAAATTATAGTCAAGATACAAATAATATCACACTTAACGAAATTGAAGATATCCATCAAAAACCCAATTATATTTCCAACAATTTATCCATTACTAATGAAACTGACGAGTTTGTTGAAGTTAAAAAAATCGACAACAGTATTATCAACAATCAACAAGAAAATAACGATAATAATGATGAAGAAAAAATATATGATGAAGATCATTTAGAAAATAAAAAGACTATTTTTGAACCAAGTCTTGCTGATAATCAATCAAGTAACGAAGACAATGTGTCTTCTGTTGACATATCTAAAGATATCTTACCAAGCGAGCTTCCAGCTCAGGAATATGTGGAACAAAACCCTGATTTATCTGAAAGTACACAATCTGATCAACAACAGCAAGAAACCAATTCAAATCCTTTAGAAATTCAGGCTACAGGTGAATGTAACTACGACCCTCAACCACATTATAGTGAGGATGGTCAACCCCTCCCATATGAATCAAATGAGCAAGAAATTCAATATGATCAAAATGGTCAACCTCTTCAATATGATGAAAACGACCAGATTGCTCAATACAATTCAAATGGAGTATCTTACGATCAAAATGGACAGCCTATTCAATATGATGAAAACGGACAACCCATTCCATACAATGAGAACAGTCAAACTTTAGGTTATGACGAACAAAATCAACCAATACAATATGACGAACAAGGCCAGCCAGTGCAGTATGACCAACATGGTCAACCAGTACAATACGACCAACAAGGTCAGCAAATACTGTATGACCAACAAGGTCATCCAATACAATATGACCAACAAGGTCAGCAAATACAATATGACCAACAAGGCCAACCGATACAATATTATCAACAAATTGAACCAATAGAGTATAACGAAAACAATCAACCAGTTCAATACGACCAAAATGGACAACCGATCCAATATGATTCAACGGGACAACCAATTCAATACGATCAAAACGGACAACCGATTCAATACGATCCTAATATTCAGCCTGTACAATACGATGAAAACGGTCAACCAATACAAAGCACTCAATTGGATGAAAACGGACAACCAATTTACTTTGACCAGTCGGGCCAGCAAATCGCCTATGACGAAAATGGTCAAATCATTCAGTATGACGAAAACGGTCAGCCTATCCAGTACGATGAAAACGGACAGTCAATTTATCAGTATCCTCAGTATGACGAATCCGGCCAACCACTTCAGCAATATGATGACAATGGGCAGCCTCTTCAGTACGACGAACAAGGACAATATGATGAAAACGGCCAAGCAGTATCCAATTATACTGCCGAAACTCCCATAGAGCAAACTAACGAAGACAAAACCTTCGGGGAGGAGGTACTACCCGAAAATGTGGACAATATATTAGAAGACCAAGATGCTGCAACTGTTAACCAGACTAGTAAAAGTAAAGTTTTAGAAATGCTCGATACTGATACGGAGAGCTTACAACAAAATGTTAGTAAAGTATCTGATAGTGATTTCAGCATCAGTCAGTAATTTATTATGATGTTACTTGTGGTTTAAGGGAGTCAACATTTTACTTTTTTTCTATGAATTTAAATTTAATCTCTATAATTGTTCGAGTAACCTTAGTCACCATATACATAGATTTAGGTGGCATATACTTATAGTCCATTCCCTACTAGTGTCTTACTAATTTGTCATTGATTACAGTAGGTACATTTTTCTATTTTAGTCTATTCATTCAGGAACTCCACATGGTGTATGGTTTCAGGTTGAGCGTATCATCTTTCATTTAGAATACTTTAGGTTTCTTAAGATTCAGCATTTATTCTGTTATAATATACAAAATATGTGCATGCTACAATTAGATTTAGTGTTTTCAGATTCTTGGTAAATTTGATCATAGTATCTGTTTAAATCCATACCTTGTGTATCAAAATGTATTGCTTGTGTTACAGTACCTACTTATTTTTTTTTATATTGAAATTTATAGCGGTTTTTCTGTTTATTCTTGATCAATTCTTGACCCATGAGAAGCTAGGGAAGCATCACAACAAGACTCTTGGCGAAGCAAGTAGTGTAGACTTAAAAAGCCGGTATTTAATAATGATACATTGTTTTCCGGCTTCATAAACCGAAATAGTCGTCTGGAATGATTTCTTCCTGCGTTTTGTCTACCTGCTACAGTAATTATCAAAGTCGATGCGATAATGGTTGTAACAGACTTTCTGATTGCGATCTGCAGATAAACAGGATATGGATCTCAGTGCTTTGTTTCCGAAACAGACTAAAATTGCATCATCGATTCAGTTACGTCAGGAAGACAGTTACTACTCGTAACTGTCTGTAAACCCGGAAATCCATGTATAATTACTTTTTTGGCTTCTTTTAACAAACCCCTAAATCCCACATAAAATGATGTTTCAGTTGACATCTAAGCTTGTTTCATTGTTAGGTTCAAGTTATTGCTAAGTTCCACAAGGAAATAGTTTATTTTATGTAGTCGGCAGTATACCATATTATAGCACAAAAATGTTTACTAAAAAATCCTTTATAAAATTATATATTTGCTCACCCTTACGGGCAATAATAGAACGTTTTCGGAATAAATATTCCATATTCAGTGCTGCTATTAGTTGCTACCTAAAGTCCGTTTACAGACTAATCTCCGGACCAGTAACCCTTGTTACGTTGCTATGAAGTGAATCTCCTTGAAATTTTAACATCCTACATAATTATCAGCAACCATGTAATTTTTTTTTGAACCTATTCTCTATCCTTCCATTGTTGGATATAGGTCTCCCCCAGTTCTCTCCATCTTTCCCTATCTTGAGCTGTTCTCTGCCATGTGGGACCTCCTTGTTTCCTGATGTCATCTTTCCACCTCATCTGTGGTCTGCCTCTTGATCTCTTTGCATTGTATGGACGCCACTTTCCGATGGCATTGTTCCATCGTCCGTCTTGGAGACGTTCATTGTGTTCAGCCCATTTCCATTTCAATTTTGCTGCTTGTTCTATCGCGTCTACTGTCTTTGTTCTGGTTCTGATCCACTGGTTACGTTTTTTATCTCTAAGTGATACACCCAACATTTGTCTCTCCATCGCTCTTTGTGCCTTCCTTATCCTATCCAAATTGGCCTGTGTAAATGTCCATGTCTGTGCTCCGTAGGTGAGCACCGGTATGATACAGGAGTTATATACCTTGCTTCGTAAGTATAGAGGGATTGTTTGATCTTTTAGAACGTAAGAAAGTTTGCCGAACGCTGCCCATCCCATTCTTACTCGTCTCGATATTTCGGCTGTTTGATTTTCTCTATTAGCTCTGTTTGCTTGTCCTAGATAGATATACTCATTTACCTGTTCTATTTTTTCTGTTTTTATTTTTATTGCCTCTTGGTCTTCCGTGTTTGTCATTACTTTTGTTTTGTTGAAGTTAATTTTTAGGCCTTTTTGCAGTGATTTTTCATGAAGTTCATTCAGCATTAATTCCAGTTCTTGTCGTTCCGAGGAGATCAGGAGTATATCATCCGCATATCTAAGGTGATTTAGGTATTTTCCGTTAATACACATTCCTCTCTTTTCCCAATCTGTTGATTTTATTATGTCTTCGAGGGTCAAGGTAAACAGTTTAGGTGAAATTATATCGCCTTGTCGGACTCCTCGTTTAACTTTTATATTATCCGTTATTAATTTGTCGTCCAGAATTACGGTCATGGTTGCGTTTTGGTAAATATCATGTATCAATTGTCGGTATCTTGAATCTATTCTACTATTGACCAGAGCTTCTTCAACCGCCCAGTGTTCAATGCTATCGAAAGCCTTTTCATAATCTACGAATGCTAAGTACAGCGGAAGGTTGTATTCATTGGTTTTCTCAATTAAGATTTTAAGCGCATGTAGATGGTCGATTGTGCTGTATCCTTTTCTGAATCCGGCCTGTTCCACTGGTTGGTAGTTATCAAGTTTATAGGTTAGTCGGTTGTTTATTATTCTTGTGAAGGTTTTATATAGTTGTGACAAAAGGGAAATAGGACGGTAGTTGTTTAGGTCTGTTCGGTCTTCTTTCTTATGTATTAAGATTGTGTTGGCATTTCTCCATTGTTTAGGTATTTTACCTTCAAACAGACATTTGTTGAACAGTATTTTTAGCATTTTTTTTATCGTGTCTCCTCCTTCTTTTAGCAGTTCCGCCAGTATTTTGTCCTCACCGGCCGCTTTATTTCTTTTCATGTCGTTTATGGATTTTTCGATTTCATCTTCAGTTATTTCTGGTAATACCTCTGAGCCAACATTTTGTATTTTCCTCGTGAGATTCTGTTTAGATGATAGTGGTGGGTCATTTTTAGAACTGTATAGGTCCATGTAATATCTTTCTGTGATTTTTACTATTTCTCCTAGATCTCTTTCTTCATTGCTCTCAGCTTTAAGCATGATTAGTTTTCTTTTTCCTATATTTGTTTTCATTGTTTTTAAACTTTTGTTCTTCTCTATGATTTTCTTAATGCGGTCTTCTTGATATTTCTTTAAATCTTCCTTTATCTGTTTTCTTATGGTTTTTTTTTTTCAGTTCGGTATACTCCACTGTATTTCTTTTGTTATCATTCAGTAGTTGTCGTCGTTTTTTTAGCATATCTTGTGATTTAGATTTTAACTATTAAAATTAAATTAAAACTATTTTATATTAAAATAACCATGTAATTAAATACCATTTAAATAACATTTAAAGGGTTCCCATTTATTGGCTTTAAACATGTATACCTAATAGTAGCACTGAAGATGGAATATTTATTCTTGTTTAACTCCATAAGGATTCTTTTTCAATAAATATATTTTTTATAAAGGTTTTTTTAGTACTTAAACATTGTATTGCTAAGATTTATCAAGCATTTTCCGACAAGTCTAGTTTTTATGGGCTAAACGTCTGTAACTACTCCAATATTGTCAAAATTGCAGACTATTATGGCAGATTGACACTAAGGCTGTCCGCACATGGGTCGACGCTCGAACTGGTCGACTCGATTTCAATCGCGTAGGTCTCTCCCCACCGACAAAGTTCCTTCACTGTTGCATTGAGCTCCGCAGACGGGGCGATTAGTGATCGTCTAGAATTGCAAATCTCCTTGTCTTGTACGACTCTCGTCACATGCGATTGGTAGCGCACGAGAAAGTACGACTGAGAAACACGTTTTCAGTCATGGGAATAAGATTATTGTATTTGCTTTCTTCGTTTTTTATTGTTTTTTGCCCTAAAATAATTTTTTTTAAGATCGACGAATATAGTCTTCGTAAGTGGGTATATTTATTTAAAAAACCCTTAAAAGGGCTACATAAAAAAAAAAACAAAAATGCCTGAGCCACCAAAAATACATGTGTAAAAACCCTTTAAATTACATATAGTTATAAAAGAATATACATCTTGTTGTTAAAAAACTGTGATGTTCAGTATTAAATTAAATATGACTTCAGGTAACATACATTGCAAAAAAATTGAGTTCCAGAGTCGGGGAGAAAACCTCTACGCACGGAGAACAGCTGGAAACTCAGTTTCCCCGGCTCTGGAACTCAATTTTTTGCAATGTATGTTACCTGAAGTCATATTTAATTTAATACTGAATATCACAGTTTTTTAACAACAAGATGTATATTCTTTTATAACTGTATGTAATTTAAAGTGTTTTTTACCCATGTATTTTTGGTGGCTCAGGCATTTTAACCTAGCGATTTTAAAACCTGATGATGGACTGTTTAGTCCGAAAACGATTGTTTTTTTGATGTAGCCCTTTTAAGGGTTTTTAAATAAATATACCCACTTACGAAGACTAACCTCTTTTTTTGTGATACGTGGTATACAGCCAGTTACAGGAATTGTTTTCCTTGTGGATTTTATTATGTTCTTTGTTTGTAGTACTACTAGCTTTGTAGAAATATATTGTTTGTAATATAAAATTCGGAAAACATTGAATTTATGTTTCTAGGTGTTTAATATAAAATTCGTTGGGGAAGTGTAAAAATACTTTCAATTGTATAATTATACAACGAAAGAATATGCCAATATGGGTATTAAAAAAATGCGGTCTTCCTGGTTGGCAGATGTGAGCAAACAGCAAACTGAATCGACTAGTGTACGGAGAACAATCGCTCATGCCGCAGGGTTCGCATAAGATGAGCACGACGCATGAACTTAGACGCCTGCCTTCGATTGACCAATGTGGCGAACGGTCTTAGAGTTGACTGGACCAACTAATTTTCGACTTTATTTTTACCCTCCCAAATGTATAATCAACATATCGGCCAACATTTTTTTTTCATTATTGGCTCGAGAACATGTGCCTATTACCATATTAAATGTTCGCAAACTAGAATTCTTCCTACTTCCTTGTTAGACTTTCGCTTGTTACATTTTCGAATGCGTTCTTGAAATTTTTTTCGTTCTTATATTGCATATACAGATTATGACATTATCTGTTTCTTGGCCTTTTTGTACTTGTTCAGTCATTTGGTGATAAATCTCGTTCTATTTTTACTAGTATATG